CCCCCCCCCATAACCGCAAAGCTTGGGCCCTTGCCAAGGTGTGATGCCTTCGGTATTAAGTCCGCGTGTTCGCGCAACCCCCAGGAACTAGCCCCGAAGTTACGATTGTTTGTTAGGAACGTCTAGGCCCAGGAGGAAAGGGAAGCAGAGGAAGGAAAGGACAAGGGGCGGGGAGAGGAGGGAGAGGGGTTCGGTAGACAGCAGCGCCAGGGGCGTGGAGTCTGAGGCGGGTGTGGGCGGGGCTCTCAGAGACGACTTCTATTTTGAATGCGATCGGTTGAGCCGGTCGGAGAGCACGGGAGGGTAAACATCTTGCCGACGGCGCAGCGGGCAGGGGCCTAAGTGCGTCCGCAACCAGCACTCAGTTGGGCCCGGCCTCGCCTGTCCTCGACCTCGCCGTCCTCGCCATGCTCGCCGCCCTCCCGCTGTGCGTGGCGGCCGCCCTCCTCTGGCCGGGCCTCCTCGGCCAGGGTGGCCCGTCCCGGGGGGCGATGGCCGCGGGCGTGGCTGCCGAGGGGCCGGCCGTGCTCAGCCCGCTCATCGGGCCGGCCCAGGAGAGGGAGGCCCTGGCCCGCCGGCTGCACCACCAGCAGCAGCACGTGAGTGTCCGGGGCTGACGGGCCGACCGCACGCACCGCACCGCCAACCTGATTCCATCTCGACTCTGTCCTGCAGCACCTACGCCATCAACACCACTACGGGGACCCTCGGCTGACGGGCCGGCACCCCGCCCTCGGCCAGTCCGCCGACGGCAGCACCGCGCCGCCCCTGGGGATGCACGTCGGTAACGCCGCCGTGGCGCCGGCCCCGCCCCCGCCCCCGGGGATGCACGTCGCCAACGCCGCCGCGGCGGGCGCAGGCGGCGCGTGCCAGTTCAACGCCGAACACCTGGCGTCCACGGTGGCCAAACAACTGGAGGGGATCTGCAATGAGAGTGAGTCAAAATTCAGTTCGCTCTTGCTCTTGGCGTGTCCTGGCCTGGCGGTGGTGTTCTGCTGGAACATATATCCCGCACGATTGGCATAGGAAAAGGAATAAAATTGGATTGGCACAACTGGCAGACCGGCTTATGGCGACGTGTGTGTGTGTCACCATGCCGGGTGGTTGTGGCCCACGCGTCCACAGCACGTGTTCCCGCGCCTCAGCGGGCGGAGCAGGAACGGAGCCAGACACGTGGGAACAGGAAGGGATAGCGGCCGGCGAGCCCACCCTCCCGTCTGAGATGAGGGCTTAATCGAAAGGGCGATTCTCCCTGGAGATGGGCGGACAGGCCAGTTGGAATTTGAACGAACTCGAACCTCCTATGGGGCCGATAAGCTGGTCCATTGAATTCCCTGCAACTCTGCGCCTATCGTCCAATGCTGCCACCGGGCGTGGGCGCGAGTCACGGAAGACGGGCCAAACTGTCAAATCATACCTTTTGGGGAACTGACTTCGTGTGACGCCGCTAGTGAAAGTGACCTGAGCCATGGCGGCCATGGCGGCCATGGCGGGACTCTGCGACCACACCTGATACTAAGCCAACAAGTCGGAAAACGGGGAGAAGAAACAAGCTCGCGACATTTGTCTTTTTATAATTATCCAGGGTAACTGCTTCTTATTTTTGTCCATTTCTTTAGAGGAGATTACGGATCGCTTCCACAATCTAGGCTCCCAGCTTGCCGACCAATTCAACGTGTTGAAGACCATGATCCTCAACCTGGAGGACAAGGTGGGCGCCATGGACATCGGCATGGAGCGCGCCGAGCGCCGACTGCTGTCTGCCGTGTCCAAACGCTGCGGCCGAGCCGGGTATGTTGGGGAGGTTGCGGAGAGCTGGAGGCTTGCCTAGCTCTGACCATGGCGCCTTACGGCCCGAGCGAGTAGGCAACCCGATCGCGCTCGTGTGGGAGGGTTGCCTATCGGCCCTGACCAAGGCGCCTTAAGGCCCGAGCGAGTAGGTAACCTTCTTGCACTAGTGAGGGAGGGTTGCCCATCGTCTCTGACCATAGCGCCTTACGCCCCGAGCGAATAGGCAACCTGCTCGCACGCGTGCATGCGGTAAAATCTAACCGCATGTTAGTGTGCGGTACTAACTGGTCTATTCACATGGCATGAACAATCTGCTGCCCCAGAGCTGCCGAGGACGAGCTTGGAGGCATGGCGGACGCTGAGCAGGAGGAGGCCGCGGTGCCGGGGGCAGCCGCGGCCCTGCAGGACGACGACGAGGACGATGAGGACGCGGACTACGCCGACAACCCCGCCCTGGTGACGGTGTCGCGGGACGGCGCGCAGGGCGCGAGCGCGCGCGACGAGGAGCTGCAGCGGTTCAACAACACGGTGCACACCGAGTATGCCCCGCAGGCGCACCCGGACCACGAGTCCGGCCTGGGAAACTCGCTGGCCGGCTGTGGCCACGGGCAGCGCGTCTTCACGTACTACTGGCGGGTGCGCAACATGGACTACAAGATGACCGGCTGGAATCACAGACGGTCGCTGCGCAGCCCCAGCTTCTACGTCTGGCCGGGAGGGTAAGTAGGCGGAGCGGGGGCAGTCTTCAGCACGTTCGAGTGAGTAGCGCCGCACTGTTTTCTCATGCGCCTCCTGCCGACAGGTATCGCATGTACTTGCGGATATACCCGCGCCAGTCCGGCGAGAACGTGTACGTGCACGTGGGTCTGATGCGCGGCGAGCACGACGGCGCGCTGCCCTGGCCGTTCAGGCTCAAGCACCGGCTGGCCGTGCTGGACCAGGTGAGCTCCATGGCGTCCTCGGGGCCCGGCTCCGGCCCCGTCGACCTCGTGTCCCGCCTGTGGGACCCCAGCCAGCTGTGCTCGGGCTACAACTGGCAGCGGCCCGCCGCGCACACCCCGGACAACTACGAGTGCGTGGGGCTGGGCTTCCCCCAGTCCGTGCTGCGCTCCCGGAGCTACCTGCGCCAGGACACTGCGCTCGTCAAGCTCACCGTGTGTCTGAACCAACCCTAGTAACGAGGGACTGCCATCTCATGTCTTTTGCACAGCTATGCATGGGAAAAAAAACAACAACAAAACTTTGAGCTCTACCAAGGTTTTAAGTGCCATGCTTGTTTTTCAAGTGTGGACTGAAAAAAATCCAGTACCGTCCGCAAATTCAACAAGTTGTTTGTATATTTTGTATCTTGAAATTAAAATGTTTTGATAAAATCGACCCAACAAACATAGCTCGACATTTTTTTTATGAATGTGACACACATACCCAAATCATTTTAGCCAACAAACGATGAACTTTCTCAGATAACCTTGTTCTTTTCACGCAGTGATATATAAACATTCTTGGACACTCTGTTGGTAACAATGAAATGTACGCTAAAGTAGCGTTTGGAAGCGAAATACATTACTGTTTATAGCAGCTGTTGGTTGGGTCGAGGACCGCGTTATAGCAACACGACACGATGCCAAAGGGAGGGGGTTGGGAGGTGCGGGGACGGGATGGGGAGAGGGGGATCGAGACCACAGCAGACACTCTGGCGACAGATCTGGCCGGCTCGACCAATCTCTCCTCCAATCCCCTTGGCCAAAGGCGCAAAGGCGGCACCACGTAGGAATTCCCTTTAGACAAAAAAAAAGCAGATGCAAATCTTGATGAAGAACACGGCTGTTCACGCTGTTCATGAGTCTTTTAGTTAATCGATCCTGAAGTTCTCTAAAATACGGGCGTGCGAGCCTTACCATCACTGACGACCACCATACGCGCATTGCTCCGTTCACGAAGAAAACCAGCCCGCCCCCAAATGCAGTACAGCCACAAAAAGTTCACGGTGTGAATTTGCTCACACGGTATAAAGGCCTGCAAAGGGGCAGCGAGGTGACGTGGACAGACAGCCAGGATTAATGCCCATCTGCTTGGAAAAAGAAACTTGTCACTCTTGACGTCACCGTGAAGTCACCTCCACAGCAGACGGCGTGTGACCTCATGAGGCTGCACAGCACAAATGAGAGGCTCTGACTGTCGTGTACGGGGGGCGTCCTTCCGCGTGGTCTGGTGTGAGGAGAATAGGCCTGGTGCGCGGCCAGGCTGCGTCTGGAGGGACATGGGCAGGGCCCCGGAGTGTAACTCCGAGAACGTAACGTGCTGGCGAGCTTCGCACGACGCACCGCCCACAGGAAGGTCCCTTCAGATGACTAAAATGGGATGAGGCCAGCTGTTGCGTC